AAATAAATACATTATTCCTCTGTAGACAACTAACCAGCCCATCCACCACAATCTGCAACAACGCCGCATCCACGAGGAGGCGCCTGTTGAAAATTTCCTCCCTGAGCTCATTGGCAAAGTCCAAATCACCCTTCTCGCAAACAAAGGGAAAGTGGAGTTCGCGTCGAATGGTGGTGTTGATTTTGATAATTGGGGGCGCAAGAAGGATGAGAGTAACGGTGGGCCTGGTTTTGATCGAGCAATAAGAGTTGGGTTTGGAGGAGTTAAGAGCATCCACAGTCAGAGCATCCGCAATGGGCTCCCTAAACCACCTCGTTAGACAAATTTTAGGAAGGCATTGTAAAAATGTAACTCCAACTATGCTCCCTATCCATCTCCTAAAATAGGGAGTCCTCTAGGAGCTCCTAAATCTGAGGAGAGAGAAAGGACTCCTAGTGGCTCCCTATAATTTAATGATGCCTTATTTAATGAGTATTTCAAACCTTTATTTAATGCTAACTATTTTTTATTTATTTTTTAATAGAGATGGACCAATCAAAAAAGAGTTATAGCATTTATGACTCTCCAAATTAGGGAGTATGGTTGGAGTTGAAATTTTTTAGAGAGCTCCTAAAATAGCTTTCTTATATTTTTAGCTAAATTTTAGTTAAGAAATAGAGAGCATCATTGCGGATGCTCTCATGCTTTCTATTTTTTTTGTTAAAATTTAACTAAAAACCTATAAAAGCTATTTTAAGAGCTCCTTATCAAATTTGAACTCCAATCATGCTCTCTTGTTTAGGGAGTCATAAATGCTGTAATTATTTTTTAATTGATCTCTATTAAAAAGTAATATGAAAAATAGTTGGTATTAATTGAAGGTTTAAAATAATTATAAAATAAAACAACATTAAATTATAGGGAGCCACTGAGAATCTTTTTTCCCTCATCATTTAGGAGCTCCTAGAGGTCTCCCTACTTTAGGAGAAATTTTTGCAGGTACCCGGTACACCAGCCAACTGGTGTACCTGCCAATAGGAATGAGACACGTGTAATAATTTATTTTTAGCCTCTGAACTATTTGTTCCGTTAGCCTTTTAACTCTGTCTCTCCGTTAGCCTTTTGTTTCGTTGATACCAATTGAGTTACACTTGTTCCGTTAGTATTCCCAAAAATTCAAACACTGCAATAGAATCTACAAGAACAAGAAGGCAACCATAGACCACTACTACAAAATAGTGAATCCACGACACCAAAAAGACGACGGTGCAGTCTAAAACCGTCGTTGTATTTTAAAAGACGACGGGTTTACAAAACCGTCGTAGTATATCATCTTATACGCCACTAAAATCGATTTATGATGTCTTGAATTTTAAAACACGACGCTTATAAATAAAAAACGTCATCTTTTAAATCACACTAACGTTGTCTCATTTTTAAAACACGACGCTTGTGAATACAGAGGTCGTCTTGTAAAACACGCTGGCTGCTTAAGAGACTTTTCTCTCGACCTAAAATTTTCAAATTTCCCCAAACTGGAAAAAATTCTCCCTCTCAATTCTCTGTCTCTCCCTCTCTCAACTCTCTCCCTCGACCTAAAGTGGCTGCTTAATTTCTACCCGCCGTCATCTCGCGTCGGACTTTGACTATGAGGGCCATACGTGTTAGAAATGTGCCCTAAGAGCCAATACATTTGATGTAATCTCCTTAGAATACATTTCGTATATGATATATAAAGGGCAAACTTAATTTGTTATCTTTTACATCGTGTAAAGAAACAAATGTCCAGGGTATGCTAAATAAGAGATAAAGTAATCTAAAGAAGATTAGATTCATGAGACCTTTAATCTCTAATTGTAGTATCCCAAAATGTTCCTAATCATAGGTTATCAAATGGGCATTGATAAACCGTCAAGATTAGCACATATTATGTATGCTCAATTGGGAGGATGGTTAGTCTCAAACCATTTGTGTAGTTGACACTAATACAAGTATGTGGGTGCTCATTAGTGAATGAGTACACTGAACGCGATCAACCGTAGTTCTCATATGGAGTATTTATCTACATGTCAAATGAGAACTCATAGTTGCAATAATACAAATTAGTCCTTAGACCTGAGGCATCATGGTTGTC